TATTGTCAGGAGGGACCAGTCACTGGAGAAGGATATCATGTTTGGTAAGGTGGAGGGTCAGAGAAAAAGAGGAAGACCCCCAATGAGAAGGATTGACTAGGTGGCAGCATCGGTGGACTCAAGCATGGCAACATTAGTGAGGTTGGCCCAGGATCAGGCAGTGTTTCGTTCTGCTGTACATAAGGTTGCTTGCTATGAGTCGGTATCAACTTGATGGCTCTTAACAACAACCACGCGACCAGTGCTATTACTCGAAGGCTCTAACAACGTCCATTGTAGGTTCTAAAAAATCTGCATTCTTGCCATGTCCCAGGTTCTGCTGCTGCTGTTCTGGCCCCCACATTCTGTGAATTACTTCTAGTTTTCAGGTTAGGTTGTAGGTTCATAGATGTTAATTTTAATATAAAATGAATATATTAAATTAAATGGGGGGGGGAGGTCAGGCATAGATTAAAGATAAAAGTGTGTCGAAAACAATTCGTATTGATCCAATGCTTTCCTCCCCTTCCCCACAAAAGCTATAGTTCCTTACTAAAAGCAAATGTGAAAAACATCTTTCTCTAAGAAGTTCAAGACAAAAAAGAAAATTACCGACAACCACTTTTGAGAAATAAGTTTGACGATCTTTTCTACTATATGTGCACAGTGAAAATACACTGTATACGTTCCTCTGTATTTCAGTATCTTTGCTAAGGACTTGACAGATCACAAATTTACCTTTTATTGATGCAACAAAAGCTGCGTGCGTTTAGAGGAAAGATTTCCCTATTTTCGGTCCTTATCCTTTCATGATGTGTTTATGTAACTTTCTTCGTCGGTTTCCCCCTCTCCCTTCCAAATATGAGCTGCTACTAAATTGTGAGGTAAAATTTAGACGGCATTTCTCACTCCTATGTTATTGTGTTGGTTTTTCCATTCTACCTCTGAATTGCTGAAGGTACACTGTGTCCTGCCTTGTGCCAGTCACTAAAGAGGTTTGAAAAATGCCTGAGTTTAAAATTCTTGCCCTCAAGCAGCACAGGCTAGAAAAGGAAACAGTTATAAATAAAGATTACAATCCAAAGAAGAAAATACGAGATGTTACAGAAAATTAAAAATTTATCTGCATCATCTCTCCCAAACCCAGATTCTAGGGAGTTTTCCTAGCCACTTTGACTTCTAAGAGCTACCACTGCGGCGCGGGCGTGGAAAGCGGGAAGAGGGCGGGACCACAGAGCTCAAAGCACGGAGTACCGCCCGGCTTCATTGGCTTTCGGGCCGGAAGGTGCGGAGCGGGCCTTCCTGGCTGCGCATGCGCTCCTTACACGTGTTCCCAGAGCACCGCCTCTACGGCTCTGAGCCAGTGTGGGCTGACCCGAATCATGTGGCGAATTCCTGCCCTCCGGCTGCTGGGGTGCACTCGGTCCAGTAGGGTTTTTCTCTTTCAGGACGCTGGCCCACGCCACTACGGTTCGTGCCCTCTCGGTGCCCGCGATGAGGTCCGCGACCGGCGCGCTTACTTCACGACTCCGATTTTCTACGTGAACGCGGCCCCGCACATTGGGCACCTGTACTCGGCGCTTCTGGCGGACGCCTTGTGTCGCCACCGTAGCCTCCGGGTTCCCGGTGCCGTCACCACGCGATTCTCCACTGGCACCGATGAGCACGGCCTGAAGATCCAGCAGGCGGCAGCCATCGCGGGCGTGGCCCCGGCCGAACTGTGTGACCGAGTCTCAGCCCAGTTCCAGCGGCTTTTCCGGGAGGCTGGTATCGCCTGCACCGACTTCATCCGCACCACCGAGGTGCGGCACCGGCGAGCGGTGCAGCATTTCTGGGAGGTGCTGAGGGCCCGGGGTCTGCTCTACAAAGGGCTTTATGAAGGTTGGTACTGTGCTTCAGACGAGTGCTTCTTGCCTGAGGCCAAGGTCACAAAGCAGCAGGGCCCTTCCGGGGATGCCTGCCATGTGTCTCTAGAGAGCGGGCATCCTGTGGCCTGGACTAAGGAAGAAAATTACATTTTCAGGCTTTCGCAGTTCCGTGAACCGCTCCAGCAGTGGCTGCGGGACGACCCTCAGGTCATCACCCCCGAGCCATTCCATCACGCAGTCCTTCAGTGGCTAGAGGAGGAGCTGCCTGACCTGTCCGTGTCCCGGAGGAGTAGCCACTTGCACTGGGGCATTCCGGTGCCTGGGGACGATTCACAGACCATCTATGTGTGGCTGGATGCCTTGGTCAACTACCTCACTGTAATTGGTTATCCAGATGCTGAGTTCAAATCTTGGTGGCCAACCACCTCTCATATAATAGGCAAGGACATCCTCAAATTCCATGCCATCTATTGGCCTGCCCTCCTCTTAGGGGCTGGCATGAGCCCTCCACATCGTATCTATGTCCACTCCCACTGGACAGTCTGTGGCCAGAAGATGTCTAAGAGCCTGGGCAATGTGGTGGATCCCAAGACTTGCCTTGACCGTTACACTGTGGATGGCTTTCGCTACTTTCTTCTTCGACAGGGAGTCCCCAACTGGGACTGTGACTACTATGATGAAAAGGTGGTGAAGCTGCTGGATTCCGAGCTGGCAGATGCCTTGGGAGGTCTCTTGAACCGATGCACTGCCAAGAGACTCAATCCTTCCGGGACTTATCCAGCTTTCTGCGCTGCCTGCTTCCCCAACAAGCCAGGATTGGTGGGGTCATCAGTTAGGGTTCAGGCAGAGGACTATGCTCTGGTAAGGGCAGTGGCTTCTTTGCCCAAACAGGTAGCAGACCACTATGATAACTTTCAGATCTATAAGGCTCTGGAGGCAGTGTCCAGCTGTGTTCGGCAGACTAATGGCTTTGTCCAGAGACATGCACCGTGGAAGCTGAACTGGGAGAACCCAGTAGAGGCTCCCTGGTTGGGGACCGTTCTTCATGTGGCCTTGGAATGCTTGCGAGTCTTTGGAACTTTGCTCCAGCCAGTCACCCCAACTCTAGCTGACAAACTGCTGTCTCAGCTGGGGGTCTCTGCCACAGAGAGAGGCCTTGGAGAGCTCAATTTCTTGCCTCGATTCTATGGGCATCCTTGCCCTTTTGAAGGAAGGAGGCTTGGACCTGAAACTGGGCTTTTGTTTCCAAGACTGGATCAGTCCAGGACTTGGCTGGTGAAAGCTCACAGGACCTAGAAATTCAGTTCTTACGGGCTTGTTGCAAAAAACTAAATGTATTTTTAAAAAATATATGTGTATATTTTATATTTTCAGTAAAGTTATGCTAATGTTTTCTTAAAATGTTGCATCAAGTGAACGAACACGTAAGCTTTGTCCCTGTGAAAAGGGTTTATAGCCTTTCAGGTGCTTACCCCAAGTTTTTCAGTGCTCTGTACCCACTAACCACTTTTTTGCGCACCAGTGTTCAGGATGGGGTAAAGACAACATTGCTAAATACTAGTCCTCATTGTGCACCTTCTAAACAACAATTATGTTTGTCCAGACTACCTCTCATGACTTGATTTTCATTGGCCTAGCCTCTACTTGGAGTTCTGGTGTGGCACTATAGGATAAGCACTGTACTTACTGCTAGCCATAGGCCGGCAGTTCAAACCCATCAGCTGCTCTTGGAAACACTATACAGGTTGCTGTGAATCTGAACTGACTCGATGGCACTTAACAACAAGAAGCCTCTTCTTGGGTAAATTAATGAAGTGACTCCTTTTATTGACAGTGGGTATTGGAGTCTGTGCTTTAAGTCCCTTACCTCAGCTTTCTCCAGAATAGTCCTTTTGTTATATGCTGTCTTCTCTGAAAAATAAGTTTTATTAATAAAAGTAACTATAAAAACCAGTGTCCTAGACCATAGGATTTTTGCTCATGTTCATCCCATGTTTTTAATACCTACAACCATGACTTCTAATTTTTTTTTTAGTTGTGTTTGAAACATTACGCAGCAACCACTAGATGGCTCTAGCCTCACATTTAAACCCTTAACTGAGGTTTCAGAATATTTACATTACTTTTCTGCATTCTAATTCTTCAGATCTTAAATTTTAATTTTTTTTCTTGAAATAAGGGGTAACTTGTTTGCAACCACTACTATTTTAACAGAAAGCAAAAACAAAAACCAAACAATTCTCATTTTTTCCCAGACTACTCAAAATGGCATTTATGAAATATTTAGTAAACAAATATATCAAGTTTGAGTATGCTAATAGTCTAAAGTTCTTGAGGTATTTGTTGTGTTTAAAAGTTTTAAGCTTCAATAACATTAGGCTGCAGGCATAATCTGTAAATAGCTCAAAAGGGTAATATTTTCTGGATCTCTTAAGTCCTAATTTTGTTATTCACATGCATAATATACTTTATATGATTTATTTTGGTTACTTAATCTGTAATAAATACAATATAGAAATAGTTTATATAAATAAGGGTGCTTTCTTTGAAGACTTTACTAATTTTTTTCTTTTGCCCTATTAACTTAATAAAGTTTAAATGTATAAAGTACCTTATTCAGACCTTTTCTTTTACATCTGTTGAAGGTGATGGTGAAGGCAGGAAATGATCAGTGCTCCAGGAAACTCAAACTGGATTTACTGATCTCTCCAAGGTTCCATAAGAGAACATCATATAGGTGTTACGGTATAAAGTTATACAGTGGGTACAACACATTAAGCTAGTGTTATGTCTCATAGGTGACCGGACAGGTAGACCAAAGTTTAAAATGAGCACTTGCCTTGAAGTATGCACCCTGAGTATGGTAGCAAGCAGAGAAGGCTTACTCTGAAGTAAACTATTAGCTGGCAGTTCCTTCACATTTGTCTTAGGTGCTTTCATTCAGGTCCAGTGTTTTAACTGTTGCTTGGACATGGTGCTTGGAAAACAATGTTCTCAGAAATTCTAAAGATGGAAGAGTTTCCACTAATGTTGCTTCGTAGCCTCCCTGTTCTTCATAATGGACAACTGGACTTTCCATGTGATAGACATACTCCAGTTACCTGCTTAGATACAAGGGTAGATTACTGGACGATAGAGTAGGGTGTAGTATTTTTCAGGTCTGGATAGTGTACACAGTGGTCAAAGATGTGTGTATTTACATAGGTAAAGGAAAACAGACTTGGAAACCTGTGGGATGACATCCTCTGCCTCTTGATGAGCCTTGATAGCAGTCTATCATGGGCTGAGAGACAATAGGTGATCTTTCTCATGGACCTTGGCTTGCTGGAAGGTGTAAATGGAGTCCAGGTTGTGCAACCTGTCATTTGTGTAGGCACTTAACTAGCTGTAAGAACATTTGTGGTAGCAGAGGGCAAAAGAAAATTGGGACACAATATAGGAGAGGGTATAAATTACTGTGGTAGACATATTTTAAGTGGAGGAATGTTCTAAGTTACTGACTTCTGAAATACCGAAAGTGGATCAGTTGGAATCTTTATTGTTAAGTGCCGCTGATTTGGTTTTGACTCACAACAACCCTCTGTAGGGTTTTTGAGGAGTGGTTGATAGTTGTGAATCATTGACCTTGTGGTTAGTAATCCAGTGCTTATCCTACACTGCCATAGGAGCCACAATAGATAAAATATTTGGTGGATACTGAGTTGACGTGGATATTCAATTTGATCCAGCAGTTTAAGAATGGTAAATGGAGATAGGTAAAGAGGGCTTGTGTTTCCAAGAAAGGACATCCTAGTCACTGTGGGAACAGATTACAAGTTTGTAGAGCTTTGAAACAGGTAGGACCCCTTGGCCTGTCCTGTAGCATATATAAGCATACTGTCCATGTTTTCACTGGACACTTGGCTACCAAATGTTGAAGGTGGCCTTGATGGAAGGAATTCTCCCAAATAAGCTAATTGACCTTCACTGAAGTCACCTTCTGGGAGAAGTTAACCCAAAGATTGCATTCCCCGGATTTAGGGTTCTTCTGAGAAAGAATCCCCCTACTCCATCATAATTGTTAATATCTTATCTAGTTGTGGAGCTTTGATCAGAAAGAAATTTCCCCCAGATAGTCTCCCTAAGGCACTCAGATACTCATTTTTGAGTATTTCCTGGAGGCAGTGTTACAGGTGATACAGGACTGTCTAGATCAGGTGTTCATGGGATGTCATGATAGTGAACTATTTAGATAGCAATTCAGTAGATTATAGTCACATCTGTGGGCAATGTGCTTGTTAAGTGGCACCATATATACTGCAGGAGCATTGCACAAATGAACTTCATATGTTAGGTGCTTCAGAAGTCTGACTTTATGAAGATCTATGGCAGTATGGAGATCAAGGGTAGGCAGGTATAGGAAATAGGCATAATCTATAAGGTTGCATTGAATCACCAATTATTCTGTAATAAGCTTCATTTTCTTGAAAGATTTGTGGACTCTGTTGGGGCTCCAAAGAGCCTAATAATTGAATGTTAAGCTGATGTCAAAGTACTTGATAAAGGTTTAAGCTGGAACATGGGCTCTGAGTGACAAGCTCTTTTGCACAGTTCAGTGTTAAAAAGCAAATATGTCATCTTGAGGAGTAAAGTGTGCCTGACTTAAATCATGGTATTTTCAGTTGCCACATAGGATGTGAAAATTGGACAATGAAAAAGGACAACCAAAGAATTGATACTTTTGAATTATGGTGTTTGGTTAAGAATATTGAATATACCATGGATTGCCAGAAAAATGAACAAATCTGTCTTGGAAGAAGCATAGCCAAAATGCTCTTTAGAAGTGAGGACGGTGAGACATTGTCTCATGTACTTTGGACATGTTATTGGAAGGGACCAGTCCCTGGAGAAGGACATTATAGTTGGTAGAGGGTCAGTGAAAAAGAGGAAGACCCTCAACCAGATGGACTGATACAATGACTGCAACAGTGGGCTCACATATAGCAGCAATGGTGAGGATGGCATGGACCAGACAGTGTTTCATTCTGTTGTACAGAGAGTTGCTATGAATTGGAACGAACTGGATGGCACCCAACATCAACATAGTTCTTTAAATCTGGGACATACTGAAGCCCAAGTGGAGCCAATCATTGGTCAGGTTGTGGGCCACCAACTAGTGTGGCTCATAACCATTGAAGAGGCTTGAGCAGCAGGTGACAGAACCAAACATTCAACAAGTTCCTCCTTAGGTATTATGGTCAGAATGGTTTCTTGGATCTCTAGCTGTTCCACACACCTACTTGCTCTATAGTGGCAGTGCTGCTTTCCCTGAGTGTAGTCTTGAATTCGGGGATGCCAAGCTTACTGGCTATGACTTGGTCTATAAAGCTATGGTATACTTCTAATCCATAAATGCCTCTGGAGGCAATTCTCTGCTAGTCAGAGTTCTGTCAGAATATACAGTCTTATTAGTGAGGTCTTGTTTTCAGTAATCCTTGATGGATACTCCCTTTGTATTTGCCAAGCAGGAATAACAAGCATCAGTTCAATAGAAGACGGAAAGGAGAAAAAACAAGTGTAAAGAAAAATACGGTAAACAGAAACCATAATGGGTTGGCAGAAGTAAATACAAATATATCAGTAATTGTAATAAAATAAAACTTCATAGGATGAACCTCCTGTCAAAAGCAGTGTTCCAGATTGAATTTAAAAAGCTCTATGTGATTTAGCGCTCAAACATAACAATTGTGAGGATGGTGCAGACCAGGCGGTGTTTCATTCTGTTGTACATAGGATTGCTATGAGGCAGAACCAACTCTTTGACACCTAACAACAGCCTATATATTCTAAATGGGAAATACTTAAACATAAATAAAAAACAAAACCAAAAATGCCCAACAAAAATACTAGGTATACCACGGTCAATCACTGAGTATAATATATTTTTACATAATGCATGGATTATTATTATTATTTTTGCCAATTGTACAATCCACCCTCCCGATACGCCATGCATTATTTTTGTGTTCTAAGTGTGTGTGTTATTTACATGGACATGTTATTTGTAAGAAATAAATAAAAAGGGAATACTGAAGGCATTGTGGGAAACAGAAATAGTACATATACTCAGATCCAAAGATCTGAAGATGGAAAGCTCAAATAAAAACATTCAACATATGGCGCTGCAGCATAATGCACTGGACCTTAAGACGGTTTGAATCACATGTCAGTGGTTCAAACTTATCAGCTACTTCTTGGAAACCCTAAACAGGGTCGCTATGAGTTGGAACCGATGCAATGGCACTTAACAACAATAA